AAAAAAAAAAAAAGAAATATGAAGATGAGAGTCTCAAGTGCCAGAACCAGGGGAGGCGCTGCTGCAGGGGCAGGAAGAGGCCTCAGGTAATGGGCCCACTGAGGAATTATGGTTCTATTTCCTTTCCCTTAGTGCTGAGATCCTCCACCCACCTTCATGCCTCCTTCCACCCTAGGGCCCCCTTTCCCCTCTCTCTCCTCTTTCTAACTTAGCACTAGGGTCAGGCTTTCTAATCACACCCAGACCAGGCTTGTACTTTCTCCCACACCAGCTTTTCAAGAATAATGGGCCTGCCTCCTGCTCTCTGACCCCTTGCCCAAGCTCCACTATTCCAGGGGCTCCAATATGGATGTCCAGCCTGCAATCCAACTCCCGCTCTTCATGCTTTTGCCCAAAAGGATGGATTCCATGTCTGAGAGTCCTAGAACCTTCTTTCTTCCCATCAGCTTCCCCTCTTCCAGCCACAAGCTCCCCTCCCCCAGCCCCATTCATTCTTCCTGCCCCCATGACTCAGCTGTGGCTCCAGAAATAAACTGAGGCAGGTGCCAGGAGGCCTCTGTCGAGGAACCCCCTCCCAGCAGCTGTGGGCTCAGCTGCTTACCGGCCAGGGCCCCAGAGTCCAGGGAGGGTAGCTGGAGACTTGGGGCAGGGAGATGCCTAGCTGGCTCTGGCCCTTCCTATGTCCTCCAAACTCCATCCTCTCTACGAAGGAGACACTTGCCAAGTAAGGACTCAACTCTCCTTCCTGGTCTCCCCCTTCTTACCTCTCTGCTGTCTTCTACCTAGTTTCCTCCATCCTCACTGGCCCCTTCCCAAGTCCTAAATCCCTTCACCCCTCCTGAATGTCTTCCTTTTCTATTCATCCCCTTTGCCAGGAAATTATCATAAAGAGAACTTCAGCTTGCTTTGATGGGGAAACTGAGACAGAGAGAACTATCCCTTGCCAATGATACTAGGAGTCTCTAGATGCCACTTGGGGTCTATAGAACATGCACCAGGGTGGCTTGGTGCCTGTGGCTCAATTGGCTAAGGCGCCAGCCACATACACCTAAGGTGGCGGGTTTGAATCCAGCCCAGGCCCACCAAACAACAATGACGGCTGCAACCAAAAAATAGCCAGGCGTTGTGGCGGGCGCCTGTGGTCCCAGCTACTTGGGAGGTGGAAGCAGGAGACTTGCTTGAGCCCAGGAGTTGGAGGTTGCTGTGAGCTGTGATGCCAGGGCACTCTACCCAGGGCGACAGCTTGAGGCTCTGTCTCAAAAAAAAAAAAAAAAAAAACATGAACCAGGGGGCTGTGTGCTGTCCCTCTTTGATACTCCAATCCAACGGGTGGTCAACAGCTTTCTTTCTATTGACAAGCCATCTAAATACTAAGGCAGAAATGCTAGAGAATAAACACAGAAGCCACAAGATCCACCCACCAATTAAGTGGAGTCTAGAGTCCCTTGGGGAAGGGACTCTCCTCACATCCTTCCTTCTCCCATTGTGACTTCTCTCCCCTCCTTCCCAACCCCTTCCTCATGCTCTGCCCTGTGCATCTTTCAGTTCTCTCTTCCCAGGAGAAAGGAGGCTGCTTTGTAGCAGGCAGAGTAGAAGCCAGACCTCCAGAAGGACCTCCAGTTTGGGGAATGGGGGAACTCTCGCTCAGCTGGGATAGGCAGCACCTGGGTCCTCACTCCAGGCAGAGATCTGCCTAGAGCCCCTGGGGAAAATCCTCCTACCCACCTACCCACAGATTTCTGACAGGCTGAGCATTTTTGGAAGTCTTTGGGAGCTGCTATGTCACATCAGACAGCCAGGACAATGGGGCCCTTTCTCTCCCTGTGGGGGAGACAGGCCCACAGACAGGGCCTCCAGGCTGGGACAAGGGCCCCAGTGAGGTCAAGGCAGGGCTTCAGGAATTGGGAGTGTGGGGGAGGGATGGGGAGGTAGGTGTAGGTCAAAGTAGATTGGGAGGAAGCTGGGGACCCTGGCAAATGAGGGATCTCTGGAAGGCCCTGTCACCAGTCTCCTAGGCCCCTTAGCAATGCTCAAGTCCCCTGTCACCCAGGCTGAGTCTCCTCTCTTCATACACACTCTGACCCTTTTCATACCCAGGAACAGGAAACCCCGAGGGGGACTTCACTTTAGACATGTGGAAGAGGCTGAGAGCGTAACCATGCCTCCAGGATCTTGACTGGGGTAGACACATTGTCAGGTCTGTGTGTGCCCTGGAGTCAGAGGCAAAGGCAGACACAGCTGTGGCTCCTGATTGCTGGGCTTGACACTCTCTGAAGGGTCAATCTCTCCTCCCCAAGGCCAAGATGGGCAACACACACACAAACACACAGTGCCAGGGCTTAGATTTTGCACAAGGTGCTGAGTCATCCTGGACCAGCTCCCTCTTCCCCAGGAAGCCCAACAAAGCCAGGAGAAGGCTTCCTTCCGGGCCTGCCCCGCAGCAGCAGGTGTCAGGAGGGGTGGGATTCTCCATCGGTCCCCCACCCCCATGTCTGAAGCTCTCCTCACCCACAGATCAGAGGAGATGGCTGCCTGCAGATGTGAAGGATACTCAATGGGAACCAGCGCCCCTTCCAGCTCACCCTGCTCTGGTCTCTCTGGGAAGTCCAGCAGGCTGTCTAGACGTTCCTGCAGATGTATTCCTCAGGGAATCTCCCTTAAGGTCTCATGAATAGACACTGCCTCGCTCCCCAAAAGCTCCTCCTCAGACCCTACCTTGAAAGGTCCACTGTGGTTTTCAACCACTCACAATTCCGGCTAAGGGCCCTGACATTCCTAAAAATGCACGGATTGGGCAATCCAGGGTAATATGGGATAAAGTGAGGGTCTACTCTAACCACAGAATCACTCTTCTCTGTAGCTCATTAAGAAGCAGCATCCAGGCTCGGCGCCTATAGCTCAACCGGCTAAGCCGCCAGCCACGTACACCTAAGGTGGCGGGTTCGAATCCCTAGCCCGGACCCACCAAACAACAATGATGGCTGCAACAAAAAAATAGCCGGGCGTTGTGGCGGGCGCCTGTGGTCCCAGCTACTTGGGAGGCAGAGGCAGGAGACTCGCTTGAGCCCAGGAGGTGGAGGTTGCTGTGAGCTGTAATGCCATGGCACTCTGCCCAGGGGGACAGCTTGAGGCTCTGTCTCAAAAAAAAAAAAAAAAAAAAAGCAGCAACCACTCCCTGGCCAGGCTGGCAGTACCGTGCAGGGAGGTTGGGGGGGCAGGGGAGCCCTGGGGTGGGAAAGGAAGGTGGCTGTGGTGGGTCTAGGAGGGCATCTCAGAGCCTAGCTGGCTGTGGGATTAGAAATAACATGGGGAAGGCCCTGGAGCAGCCTCCCCAAGAGGAACCTGTACTAAACCCATCTCTGTTCACCCTACCTCTGAGTCCCTCCACGTCTCTCTTAGCCTTTCACTCCTCAGGATCTGTCTCCTTGTCTCTTAGTTGTACCAAGTTTTAATGACTTCGGAAAAGGAATCACCCATGTGAGTGAAAGTGGCGTAACTGAGTGGACACGAGCAGGAGTGTGCACATATGACGGTGTGCAACTGCGTGTGACTGGCCAGGGGTCTGCAGCAGCGAGAGTCAGGCCCTCCCAGGCTCAGACAGTGTCCTGACTCCTCTGCGCGCTGTGACGAGGCCCCTCCTACACACACACACACACACACACACACACGCGGTCACTCTCTCCGTCCCCCCGGCCGGAGTGACCACACACACACACACATACACACACACACACGCGGTCACTCTCTCCGTCCCCCGGCCGGAGTGACCTCACCGGCTCAGTCTCTGTGACTCATAGCCCCAGAGCCAGCCGGCCCGGCCGGAAGTCCGCCCTTCCCCCTCCCGCCAGCTGCCCCCTCCCCGCCCCGGCCCAGGAGGAGAAAAGGACCGCGGCGCCCCCTGGCGGGCTCCGGGCCCCTCGCGCTCCCACGCGTTTCTGTGCTCGCTCAATGTGCACACAGCGCTTCGAGCGCGGTGTCTGCGTCCGCAGCGCCCTCTGCTGCCCAGCCGGGGGGACCCACACGTCGTTCAACAAGCCCAGTCCGCAGTGGAGCTGGGACCTCGCCTCTGCCTTTCCCTTGTCCGCCGGTTTTCTGCATCTCTGGAGATTAAGCCTCCTTGCAGCCGAGACCCTGGGCCTGCTGCAGTGCCAGCAGAGCTCTGCCTTCGCTGAGAGGAACCCTTTGCGGAAGGTGGGAACCGGGACATCCCTCTCTGCCTTTCTGCTTGGGACCTCTGTCCGGAAACTGAACTCAACTAAAGGTGCTTTACTGCCCGGTGCGGTGGCTCACGCCTGTAACCTAGCACTCTGAAGGGCCGAGGCGGGTGGATTGCCTGAGCTCACGGGTTCGAGACCAGCCTGAGCAAGAGCGAGATCCCCGTCTCTAAAAATAGCTGGGCGTTGTGGGGGGTGCCTACAGTCCCAGCTGTTCAGGAGACTGAGGTAAGAGAATCAATTGAGCCCAAGAGTTTGAGGTTGCTGTGAGCTATGACAGGGCACTCTACAGAGGGCAACAAAGTACCCCTAAATAAATAAATAAATAAATATGTTTACTCTTGGACACTCCAGGCCCTTTGTCTCTTTCCAAACATCCTGCCCCACCTCAGCTATCCCCATCTCCCAACCCCTGTAGGTCCCTCCATTCCATTAAGTACTGACTGGCAGCTATTCTGTGCCAGGCATGTTGGGCCCAGTGACATCCTGGGACTTCTCTGACCTTCAGAAGCTAACAAATAATGAACATCTCTCTCTCTCTCTCTCTCTCTCTCACACACACACACACACAGCATACAACTTGCTTGGGCTCACACACAGTTTATTTCTTGCTGGTTTTACAGGTACTCCATCCTATCAGCCCATTCCCTTGGAAAATCAAGAATAAGTGGGCACAGAGTACTCCTAGAGGAATGAAGGGGACAGGATGGCTGGCAGGAAGAGGGTAGTTGAGGCACTTAGGGAATTACTCATTGCCCTGAGGGAAAAACCTGATGTCCAGGTTAGGGGGGAGGGCTGGACCCCAGGGTATTTCCCAGAAGTTGCCCAGGCACTATCACCTGGACTCCAGCGCCACCCCTCTCAGGTTGTCACTTCCTGTGGTAGCAGGAGCATAAGATGTGAGGAAGGGTTGGGGTTGAGAGGGCAGTGCTGGGGCCAGTCGTGTTCAAGGTCTTGCCCCCTAGGGACCTGGAGTGGGGTGGGAAGGAAGGGTCAACAGTGCCTTCCAGTGCCCCAGTAGCCTCCCCTGACGTCCTTCTGGGGCCTCCACAGGGTGCAGAGCTCGGGCCTGGGGAAAACACACACATACTCACTCTCCACCCTGCTCTCCTCCTCCTGCTCACTCTTCCCTGAGCCTGCCCTCTGGTGTTATTGCTCTTTGACATTAACCTCAGTAAGGCTCTTGCTTTGGCTCAGCCCTTACCAGCACAGAGTGGCTGCATGTTCTCAGATATCAGCACTAAAGGGGGCCCCAGAGCATCCAGCCCACTCCTGTCCAGAGAGAGGTAGGACTACTCCAGGGTGACATGGCCTGAGGTAGGCAGAGCTCAGACTGGAACCCAGAGTTGCTGTTGTGTCCCCTTCCCCCGGCCTCTTCCTAACACTCACAGGCCTTCGGGGCACGCAGGAGATCTGGGGAGACTCCCAATGACCGTTGTCCTGGCACCGGATCAGTGGCAGGTTTCGCTGGGCCAGTCCCTCCCGGCACCGGTAGCGAAGCACTGTGTCCACCTCATAGCGCAGACGTGGGCGGCCAAACACTTGAGCCAGGGGCAGCTCTGGTGGGGGCCCGCAGGACACTGCAAGAGAGACATAGTCAGAACTGGAAGCCTGCATCTGTGGGTGACAAAAGTTCCCAAAATCTTATGGGAGGATCTGGGCCACAACATAACAAAAGAGATCAGGGATTCCAAGTGGACCCATGTAATTTGTTAACCCCTGCATGGTCTGAAACACATTCTGACTCCTCTGTGTAGCTTTACACTCTATGTGTATAAATATCATCCTCTGGATGCTGACCCCAGTCCTCCACCCCCTTGCCTGTCCTCACCCAGCCCCATCTTGCAGGTGTAGGACAGGTGGTAGTTGCAGGGCACATCACTCCATTGTCCCTGATCATGCCACACCATGACCACGCAGTTTTCTCCAGACAGGAAGTAGCTGTCGGGCTGCCCAGGGTTCCAGTTCTCATAGAGCTAGGAGGGCCAGAGGAGATGGTGAGGAGCTCCAAGACCACAGGAGCACAGAGGGAATGGGCCTATAGGGGCTGGCGGGGGTGCCCAGGGAGGGAAGGCAAGAGGTCTGGGGAGTAGTCCCCCAAGGGGAAAGAAGAGGGCAGGGTTTTGGGAAAGGGAGAATGAGGCCCAGAAGAGAAAAGGACACAAGGAAGGCAGGGGAGCCCAGGGAGAGTAGGAGGGCCATGAGAAGGGAAAGCAGGCCAGGAAAAGAAAGGGAAGGGCCACGATGAGGGGGCGAGGGTAATTCAGGAAACGAATTAGAGGGTGTTAGGGCCAATGGGACCTCTCACCAGGGGTACACCATCCGACCACAAGAAGTCACCTTCAATGGTTCGGTCATTGAGCCCTATCCACTGGTACTCACGGTATCGATCTGGGGGTGATAAGATGTGCAGTGAGCACAGCTGCCCACAGATGGCAGTCACTCCCTGTTGCTGGGCCGCCTGGGGGTGACAGCCAGGAAATTCTGGCCTGAGATCGAAAATCTGCGCCCCAGGGTTTCCTTATCCCTCCCTCCAATCTCTGCACACAGGCCAGATGGAAGGCAGGGATGTAGGAATGGAAAAAGAAGAAAAATATCAACCCGGCTTAGAAAAGGGAAGCTCAGGAAAAAGAGTAAAAACTTTCAACAGTGAGCAACAGGGCAGGAGGCAGGATGGCAGGAGGCTGGGAGTAGGTGGGCAAACCCATGCAGTGGCCTGCTTTGTGCAGGTGCAGCCTCAATATCCCTTCTGTGCCACATTGCCTGAACATGGAGTGGGAAGGATAGAGAGAGGGTGACCAGGTGAATCAGTGAATGAGTGAAATCTAGTAATGAGCACAGGAATTCATGACTGAGGCCATTAACAAATTAGTAAGTGAGTGAGTGAGAGAGTGGGAGAGAGCAGGTGGCAGGGGTCCTCTGCCCGCCCAGCCCACTGTTGATGAAGTCCTGCTCCTCAGGCGTGCTGATGCTGGCCAGGTGCGCGCCGTACATCCGGCACTGGCTCTCTGCCTCCTCCCAGCTCCGCCGGGTAGAAAAGTGCTTGTAGCAGGCACCCTGGAAGGGGTCCCAGCCAGGGCTGCAGAAGTGGAGGCCTGGTGCACAGAAGGGTGATGTCTTAGGACCCCAGAACCCTGAGAGAACAGGTCTCCTGGAAGGGACTGGCTCCTTCTACAGCTACAGACCCAGAGGGGTGGGACCAAAGGGCAGGACAGAGGTTCCAAAGAGCTAGTAAGGAATGAGGGGCTGGTATGAGCCTGGGGGGCTCTTGGGCTGGGGCACTGAGTGATGGGGACCAGCATGAGGGATGAGTTTTATCCTGGGTCTCTGGAATCCTCCATCCTAAAGAACTGGGCCTTCCTCTCTAAACTGACCTGTATTGACTGCCCATCAAATACTAGGAGTATGCTCAGCACTGCTGCACCTGGACCTCCTAAGAGGCATTTTGGTTCCACTTAACAGATGAGGGAATTGAGGATAGGGCTCTGAGAAGTTATGCAACTTGGCTAAACTGGGGATTCATTAATGACAAAGCCAAAACTAGTATCCTCCCTCCCTCTTTCAGAACTGGCACATTGTGGCAGGGTCCAGGCTTTGATCTGCCCCCCACCCTGCCCCTCAACACACTCACCAACATTGCACAGGTCCCCCCCATAGCCAGGCAAACACAGGCAGCGGAACCCCTCCTCCTCCTCCAAGCATGTCCCACCATTGTGGCAGGGGCTGGGGACACAGTCACCTGAGGGGGGAAAGAAGTGAGGTGGGGCAGCAGGGGAGCACAGCTCTGCAACCTGAGTACTCCAGAGAAGGGTTCAGAGTGTCCCCCTGCCCTGACCTCCCTGTCCTGGGAGCTATCACACCACCCTAAAACCTCCCCCTAGAGCCTGCCTCAGGGCAGAGCACAGTCCTGAGTTCTGGGTCACCCCACCCCATGCCTGGACCCATTCAGCATTGGCTCAGCCTTGTGTAGGCCATTGTTATGCCCCTCAGATGGGCTGAGCCCAGTCAAAAAGGGGTGGGGGAAAGTGGCCAGGAAGGCCCTCTGGACCTAGCCTCATTACAGGGCTGTCATAGACCTGAACTGTTATCTGGCTCCCAGCTCTTCTGTGTGACATTGGGCAGGCCTATTTTCCTCTCTAGGCTTGAAGTTTTACCACACCCCCTTGTCTCTGTGCCAGGTCCCAGCACAGTGCTGTGTAGGCTAGGTGGGCTGGATGGCGCTGGAAGAGGGGAAAGAGGAGAATTACCACAGCAAAGGTGGGGTGCAGCCTTCCTTGACTGCTCATGGACCTGCTATTGGCATGGCCCAGGTGAGTGCTCACCATTCTCTCTGTCCATTGGGCAGTCAGCCAGCCTCAGAAGCATGTGGAGACCTAATCCACCTTCCTCACTCTGTGCCCTGCCCTTTCCTCTGCTCAGGAATGAAGCTGCAGCAGCCCCTGATGTCCTGCTTTGACAGCTGGCCTTACACATTTGCCTTCCATCTTCACTTAACCTCTTTGCCTCCCCTTATCTCTCCAGACTCTTACACCTGGCCATGTTCCCCCAACTCCTCCCCTCTGGGCCTTCTGCAGGCTCTGCAGGCTCTGCAGCCTAGAACCCATCTCACTCTCCTCTGGCTCCTTCTCCTCCAGCCAGTCCTCTTAAACTAACACACTACCCTGAAGGTCTGCAATCTGTTTTCTGGATTCAGCTCCATCTGGCTTGGCCATCTGCCTTCTTTCTTGGCCTTTTTTCTCTTTGGATCCTGGGCTAGGAGGTGGGCTGCCCTTTTGCTGAATCTGGGTGCTGGAGGAGCTATCAGTTTCCACTCCTTCTGCCCCCAGATGACCCAGGGGAAGATGGCTGCACAGACCAACAATGCAGGTCACGGTCGGTCTTCAGATACAGAAAGTAAAACTATCCCAGGTGGGACCCTACAGACCTTACCATCCTCCTGTAGCAGCCTTGCACAAGGCCCACAGTGCTTCATACACACTGACCTGGCTGGAGATCCCACACACTGGTGGGGATCAGAGTGGCAGGGGTAAGAGAAACTGGAGTCCATTCAAAGAACTTTGCTGGGATGACCTCACTGTTTTGGGTAAAATGAATCAGCTTTTCCAGCATGTTCCCCTGTCATCTCACTTTCTGCCAATAGTTTCTTCCCAGCTAGTGGAGACTCCCCTCAGCTCCCAGGGAAGGAGGTTTTTTATTTAACCCACTAAGTACCAAGCCCCGCAGAGCGGAGTTCTGACCGCCCTCCCAGTTCCCACATTTTCTTGTTCCTCCTGTTGACTTCTCTGCTCTTTCCACTTCAATCCTCCAACCCTGGAGGGCAGGGACCCTCAAACTTGGTCCTTGGTCCCCTAGCCAGGCCACAGGCCCATCCCGTTGGCTGTAGGCTGCAAAAGTTGAACCCAGCGTAGGCAGAGTGGGGCAAAGGAACCCCTCTGAGACTTTCTTCTTCCCTCACCCTCTTTGGGGCCAACTGCTATATAACCAGGTCTTTCCTTCTCTCCTGTTGAAACAGCAGGCCAAGGGCTTCCCCCTTATCTTCCAGGACTGTAACTGAGACATTATGGACACCTCCAGCTGTGCTCCTTTTCCCCACCAAACCCCTCCCCCCAACTCAGTGCTGAACTCCAAGGCCAGCAGGGTAGGGAGGAAACAGCTGAAACAGGTGAGCCTGGGTGTGATGCAGGCTGTAATCAGTCCAGGGCTGAGAAAATCCCAGCCTTTTCTGGAGGCCTCCACTTGGGAATTATGATCTTTCCTGAGAAGGTGGAGCTTCTCTTAGACTCCAAGCCAACTCCCCATTCCCCTTCTCTCCATGTTCTCCATCCCTCACTCTCTGAATGTGTCTTTTTCAGCATTAGGGACTTTGAGATCTTTTGGCTTTAGGGAAGGTGAAATCCCTTTTTGGGGGGAGGAGCAGGGGATGATCATTAGTGCAGAGGTTAGAGGGAGAGAGCTGTGGGCAGAGGGATGAGAATTACACACCATCCACCTACTGAGACAAAGGGGTAGGAGATGGGAGGTGAAGACATCTGGATATCAAGGGACCACCCCCAATGTGAGAGACTTTCTATCACTACTCTGTATGGGAGCCACCAGGATGGATCAGAAATGAACATAAACACAGCACACATGCCCCAGGCTGTGTGAGCTTCTCCATGTTAGAAGTGAGGGGCTACAATGTGCAGCCCTCCTGCTGATTGATGGATGATGGCTTCTCTGGGGGGCATGTGTACAGATCTGGGATCTCAGCAGCCAGGAAGGAAAGTGTCGACAGACTTGAGAAAGAGAGGCTCAGGGAGTAACAAGGGGCTGTTGACTTCTAGGACAGAAAAGGGAAGAAGCTGAAGATGAAAAAAGAAGTGACACAGAGAGGAAGGACACACAAAAAGAGAGAGAGACATGGAGCCAATGAGAAGCATCAGTGAGCTGCCCATGACACAGACACATGGAATGAGAGGGGCAGACAGTTGAGATGGAGAGAGGGTCCAGAGCTTGGTTACAAAGCTGTTTAATAGAGATTTATTTCCAAGGCTTGTTTTCCATGAAACAGTCGAAAAATACTTCACAGAAGTAGTTGCTTAAGGCTCTGTGGGGATAAGGGCTGTCCTGGACCCCAGAGGTTGAGGGGCAGTGATGGACTCCCAGGATCCCCTGAGATCACTGTAGGTGGCTAAAGAGTATGGCACACAGGAGCATGAGGGAGCAGTGGGAGATGGGCCTGGCCCTGAGGGTGCAATAGGTGATGCAGGCACCCTGAAGAGGCATGATGTCTGTGGGCTGGTGAGATATGAGCCACAGGTGGAGGGCCCAAGGGTAGGAAAAGGTCACAGGTGGCCAGTGATGGGACTGGTATCACAGGACTCAGAGAGTAGAGTGGGAGTCACAAGGTGGGTATCACAGACTGTAGACCCACAGGTAGAGGTGGGTAAGAGAATGAAGGCAAAGGACAGGAGAGTCTAGGGTGATGGTGGGTTAAAGGACTACAAGTCAGGTGGCCCAGAGCTGCAAGGGGAGAAAAAGGAGAAAGATAAAGAGGGAGGTTGAGCCTTTGGCAGAATTACCTGATGAGGGGGCCACCGCCACTCCACCTCGGCTGGTGCTGTCAGTGGGCAGCACTGGCTGGGCCTGCACTGAGGTTCCTGATGGGGCAGTTCTTCCAGAATTCTCTTCAGAGGGGACCTCCAGCTCCCTGGTACCCTCAGGGGCCCGTGTGGTTGGAAGCAGGGAAGGGGCATCCTCCGAGCTCCCTGTCTCCTCACTTTCTCCTCGAAGGACCCCAGATAGCTCAGGACCACCAGTTTCCTCCCCCACCTCTCTTGCCCCAACTGGAGTGTAAGATGGTGGGGGTGCTAGGTTCCCCTCCCTGGGAGTGAGCTGAGTCTCAGTAGGTGGTCCATGGACCCTTGGAGGCCTAGGAGCTTCTGACTCTCCATCTGGAAGTGGCGATGCACCAGGCTGTAGGACAGTTCTTGTAGGTAGGGATGCCAGGGAGGGCAACTCCTCGTGGGCTGGTTCAGTGGGGAGAGAGGCCTCAGGGCCTGGGCTGCTGAACTGGCTGGGCCATGCCCACAGGGCCTCCTCTTCTTCCTCCTCCTCTTTCTCCTCGTCTTCATATTTTTCTTCCTCCTCCAATGCCTTTCCTTCCTCTTCTGAGGCCCCAATAGATGGCACAATTGACTGGGTTTCGAATTCTGGACAAAGCACAATCAGTTCAGCACCAGAGACAGCACCCGCCAAAGGCCAGAAAGAAGGGATGGGAAGCGGGGAAAGGTGGGGCTGGGGAAGGTGAACTGGGGGAGAGGGAAGAGCCCTCTCTGGGGAGAGGTGGTCTTTGCTCCACTCTGGAAGAACTTCAACCTTAGCTGCACTGTTGAGGCTTGAACAAATTGAGAAGGCTCTGTGAGCTGTCATTAGCCCAGGAACACCTGGTCACTACACCTCTCTTACGTACTCTGTCAATATCTTAGTCTGTTTTAGGTAGATAAACTGGAGGGCCAAAAAAAAGAGATACCTCTCCCTCCTAAGGGGAAGCTTCTTAGCCCAAGCATCTCCAGCCCTAAAATAATTGGGGTAGAATTTACTTGAAAGGCAAAGATTAGGAGGGGGACAGGAAAAGAGATGCCCTGTACTCTGAGCTGCTGAAAAAGGACAGGACAGAGTCATGTCAGCCATGACCACAGAACCAAACTGAGCTTATCCCTTCTACTCCCCAATCCCTCCCGGGTGGAGACATCCCCAGGGTAAGTGTTTCGAGTTACCTAGGAGGGTTCTAGGGGCCTCTGCTGGGTCTTCCAGAGAGGAGCTTCCACCTCCTCCATCCTCCATGATGGGAATGGAGTAGATGGCCCCACGGGACTCACTCTCCACAGCTTCCTGAGGCAGCTGCAGTTCCTCCAGGGTCTCCGTTACTGTGACGATGGCCTCTAGTCCATCAGAGGCCGGATCAGAAGCTGGGTTGGAGGCCTCAGGGATGGCAGAGGGCTGAGCAGAGTCTGTGGTGGGAGGAAAGTGCTGATGGGAGGCTGGGTGGATAGCTCTGCCCTCTCAGGTCCTGGCCTGCTTGTGAGGGCTCTGAGTCAGACTATCAGAGATTATGGGTTCTCTCAACTCTCTCCTATCTTCCTGTGGAGCATGCCAGAACTTTGTCATTCATTTCTCATACTTCTTTGGGGGTGGGGTGGGCACAGAGTCTCACTCTGTTGCCCAGACTAGAGTGCATCAGCCTAGCTCATAGCAAATTCAAACTCCTGGACTCAAGTTTGAGGCAAGATCCTCCTGTCTCAGCCTCCTGAGTAGCTGGGACTACAGGCTCCCACCACCACCGTAACCAGCTAATATTTTATTTTTAGTAGAGACTGGGCCTTACTCTTGGACTGGCTGGTCTAGGACTTCTGTCCTCAAGTGATCCTCCCACCTCAGCCTCCCAGAATGCTAGGACAGTCGTGAACCCCCACGCCCGGGCCATTTCTCAGGCATTAGTCAAGTGCCTACTACATGTCATGCTATGCATTCTCCTGGGCACTGAGGACACAATAGAACAAAACAGCAAACTTCCGGCAGTGCCTATAGGTCAGTGGGTAGGGCGCCGGCCACATACATCCAGGCTGGCAGGTTCAAACCCGGCCCAGGCCACCTAAACATCTAAACAATGACAACTGCCACAAAAAAAAAAAAAAACTTCCTGCCCTCAAGGGAATTTATATTCTAGATACAAATAGTAAACACATATGTACATATTATAACATTCCAGTATAAGGAACAATTGAGCAGAGTCAGAAGACAGAGTGAGGATGGGAAGTGCTTCTTTAGAGAGATCAGGAAAGGCCTGGGTGAGAGACATTCCTTTGAATGAGGGGATGGAGCCAGGATAGATGATATGGCTTCAGCACCTTGGGACCTGGAGCTTAGGGCAAGGTGTGAGAGGCCCCAGTCATCCTAAGATTCTTGAAATGGAAGAGGACAGGCTGCCATCCCCACAGGAGAGCTAAGGGCAGAATGTAGAAGAACACAAGGATCACTTAAGGATCTCAGTGGTGGGGCAAGAGGGCAAAAAGGCCACCTCCTTCTGGGATATCTGCTCCCTTCAAATAGTGGGAGGTTTTATGTGGATTACCTTGTTCTCTGGGGAAGGGAATCAAGAGCAGAAAACCAATGGAGTGAAGATGGAATTGGGCTAAGAAAAGTCCCGAGGGCTAT